AATCTAAGTCATGGTGTAGGTTGCTATACTAGATTGCTTCTTTCTTGTGTCTAAGGTGGAAGTTGAGAACACTGGAACCTGGATGGTAAGTCAACTAATAGATCTGATGTCAGGGCTCACCAAGTATACCACTTTTGTTTCTTATAACACTTGCTTTCCCCAACAGTCCTAACAACTCAGAACCAGAGAAGGGAAGCTTAACCACACTGGAATTGAAAATAATAGAATCATATATTACTTCTATAGTGATGATGCAAGGGCTCAGCTACTAGCTATGTTGCTAAAAGACTCTCTTAACACATCTCCAAAGTCTGCAGACATGTTTGATGTAAATAAATGTTTCTCCTAAGAAAATGCAGAGGCCATATAATGTTCTTTTGGGCACAAAAGTGTTATTACATTGTAATCTGACATAATTTTTAAAAAGCTAATTGAGGCCATTTAAATTCTCAAAGTAGCAACTGACCTGTGTACAAATTCCCAGTCCCTGATAATATCAGAAAATCATATATTAGAATTAGAGTTTGTGACTCTTAAGACATATATTATGAAAACAGTTAAGTAAATATTTTGAATGAAGAGATACTGCTTATTTTGATGGATGTATTGTGTTTGGGAAGGAACTAGAGAAATGATTTATATATCACATTGTGCTTTGAATTTTCATGTTTTTGAAGAGAATCAGCAAAGTCTAATCATTCTTTTCTTTTCTTTTTGTTATTTGTGTTTCATGTATTCCTAATAATACAAAATAAATTCCTGCAAATTCCTCCTAGGTCCTCTCAATCAGGCATTCCTTTTCAGTGATGCTATAGAATTGGGTCGGATTTGATGTTTGGTTTATTGGCTTTGTTTTTATGCTTAGATTGCCATCTGTCTTTGTGAAAAGGAATTGAATTAGCATGAGTGAGTGGTAGATCCATCATTCCCAGCCCATAGCCCTCCAGACGTCTGGCTCTCAGCGAGCGCTACCCTACCACTTTTAGCCCTCTGATTAGGAATCTCCTTAGTATTTGAGAGGAGCTAATGGGAAACAGTGGAGAAGCCATCCATGAGTTCTTTCCTTGCAGTTTGGGAAGCTGAAAAAATACACCATCAAAGCCAAATGGAAAAACTTTTATTATTTTTAACTCCTCTCTTACCAAGCTCTTGCTAGCGACTGGTTTTACTATTCCTTTAACAGGTGGAGGATTTTTCAGATTCTAGATGCAGCAAGGTAAGTAATAATGTATTTTTAGTTTAATAGAACTCAAGTAAGCTAGAATAGAGTCTGCACTTGCCTTTCAGTTTCATTTCAATACAACAAATAGTCAAGTTTTTTGCTTGAACATTTTCTTTCCAGAACAGACAGTTGGGCAGTAGGTTTTTGGCTCATTTTACTTGTTTTGCTGAAATAGGATGACAGTAGAGTATGTAGTTAAGAAGACCCCCCTCCGCCAACAAAGTGTTCTTCATAGTGCTTCAGGCATGCTTAGGCTGGATGGTGTTTACAGAAAAACCAGGTCAGCATGTCCTTAAAGAGAAATCAATTACTTAAAAATATCAGAACTCTTAAAGTATATAAATATGTAGACTTGCAAGATAGAGTAATCTCATAGGCCAAGGACCTTTATGACATGAACCCTACAGGAGAGAAAATCTGATCAGGCACAGAAAGTTCTTCTCTGTTGGGGAGGGGAGATACTGAGAATGCTCCCACACAGAGCTCTCATAGGCAGTGACTGTTGCCATGAGCTGCGCCATCATATTGCCACTGGTGCTCAAGAGGCTAGTGAAACTCAAGCCATTTTGTAAATATGTGCTCTAGCTGCTTGGCACATTGTTTTTAAGGTCATGATGCTCACCACTATTGTATTTGGCCTGTTGTTGGCTTATTGGCTCCAGAAATACTTCCTAGTGCCTGTACTTTCTCTTCCTATCCACCTACATTCCACTCTGTGCTCCCTGACCAAATTCAATTGATGAGAGCAAAGACTGTAGGTTTGGCATCCATCTGCAGGGGCAGACTCCCATTAAAATAAACCAGATGGGCCATTTTTAAGGTGCCCAGTTTAGGTTTCAGTAGCTGGGATTCCATACTCCTTTTAGGGCTTCAGAGGATTTACTTGACAGCAAATAAAAATAAATTCAGTATTTACATTTATAGTCAGATTATAATTCATTGAGATAAATGGTATGGACCCACATAGATACCTAATCACACAATATTAGTATGGAAGGACATTTAAAGATCCTGTCCCCTTGATTGCCTCATCTGTAAAGTAAATAATATTAGGGTCTATTATCTCTATATAACTTTTTTATATTTCTATATTGCTTTTAAGTGTTGAGAATTTGATCTTAATTTTGCTTTAAAATTTAGTGCATGATAGCACCATCTCTCTATAACAGTTTTGCTATATAACAAAACAAATCCTAACATACTCTATATGTTTATTATGGTGTTGATCAGTTAGACCAGAAATTATTAGAGCAACTTAAAGCTGGTCTTAGTAAGAAAGAAAAGAGGAATACAGATGGTGAGAAGAGAAAGAATTGCCTTTGGTAAATATGTATGGGGCCATTTTTGAATTCTGGTGAACTGAATGATTTATGAAAACTATTCAATATGTGCAAGGTTAGCATATTTTTCAATCACTAGCAAAATAATAAAGCAGTGAGGCATTTGGCAATCTCTATTGTATATACAGTTTCATAAATGCACAAGATTATGATTATCTCTGCCTGATAATTAACAATTTGCATAAGTACTTGCCATTATTTAGCTGCCTGAATAGATGTCTGTAATCCAGAGAAAGAGAACAATCAGTAGAAACCATCCCAAATGCTTAGTATTATTGCTACAAACATGCACAATTAACTGTGAGACCAGTTGCTTCAGATTAGACTTCATTTGTTTGTCTATAGACAGCAAAACATTAGTTGTCAGATTTTTGTCACTCTCTCTCTCTCTCTCTTTTATCCATAGCCAACTGTAACATAAGGTCTACAGTTGGTTGTAAGCAAGATGTTTTGTTGGAGTTTCAGTGTGCCATTTTGTGTTACAGTTTCTAAGCTTCTGTTTAAGTTAGCAGTCAATTCCTTAAACAGCCAAACTCTGATTTTTATAAAATTATATTTATAATATTTTAACAGCAGGTTTCTAGAAACTTAACAAATAAAAGGATGCTGACATGCCAACCAGTTCTGCTGCTGCATTTGCATTTTACTTCATATCCTATGTCTTTAAAATGATGGACACATTACACCTGCATATAAGAACTAAAGTCAAGGCTGGAGGGGACCTTTAAGACCATCTTGTCAAATTCCCTTACTTTTCAGATGAGTTTCATTGTCAGTAATTTGAATCTTAGTAAGTAACACCAAATCAATGATGTCACAGTTTTGTTTTTGTTTTAACTTTCAAACCATTGGAAACTATTTCAGTGAATGCATTCAGAAAACAAACAAACAAACAAAACACCTATTTTTGAATTGTAACTGATTGTTTTGGAGTCATAGGGTTTCAACTTCTTTTCCAGAGAGCTGACTCAGAATTCTTTAAATATGCCCTCATAAGGGTATATTTAAACATAAACATAACCATAATGTTGATGGCATATGTGTGAAAGAAGACGTTCTATGCAAAGCACCTGACAGTAGGAGACAACCAACACTAGCTCTTTTCCACTAACTAGTATTATAGAGGAAGTCTTACTTCAGTGATCTCTTAGAGTCAAACCAACCTCAGTTCTAATCCTGGCACTGCCACTTTTTACCTATGTAACCGCAGTAATTTGTTTAATCTCTTTTGGCTTCATTTAGTTTTCTCACATGTAAAATGTACTATCTTATAGAGATATTGCGAGGATTAAAATGAGATAATGCATATTAAGTGCTTAGCACTATTTCTGGCACATAGTAAACAATCTATAAATGGCAATGATTATTACTGTCATCGTCTGGATATGCCAGACGATGACAGTAATACTTAATCTTGTGGTGGTTTGGGGTATTGCATATACACTTGCACACTTTCACGTGTGGGTATGCAGAGTCCACATGAATGGCATCAGGAAGACTACCTTCTCAAAGGGTTTCTGTTATCACTGTGCATCAAAATCTGATGGCCTCCTATCTGGCTTGCCTTGACTTCTTTGGAGATTCTGGCTCAGTTCCACATCTTCCCTTGCTTGAAAGTGTTCATAACTTATCTTGGTGTCTTCTCTACACTCCAGAAGTTTCCTTTGTTGGGAATCTCTTTTACATGCACACACACACAAACACACACACACACACACAAGTGCACATACACACTGCTCCCCTTACCCTTGCCCCTTTAAATGGAGCAATTCCCAAGGTCCTGTCATTGATCTGCTTCTCTTCTCTTACTATGTTCTCTTCCTGGGTAATTTCATCTCCTCACACAACTTCACCTTTAACCTTTGCAGTAATGATTCCCAAATTGACCTCTCGGTTTCCTTAATTCATTCCGGAGCTCCAGGCTAACTCCAATTTCCAATTGCCTGCTGAGGATCTCCAGGGCAAGATATCTTAGGAGGCTGAAAGTGGAGTCTGGCTTTTGTCATTCTCCTCAGGAATGTAGATGGGGAGGGACCTAGCTTCATATATATTAAGAGGCGAAAACAAGGAGTAAGTGCAGGCATTAATCTCAGCAAAAGTAAGAGCGGTCTAAGTTAACAAAGTGGTCATGACAGGTAAACTTGGGATTTCTGTTAATATGAACTGAAGATTTAAATTGACAATTGGAACTTTAAATGACATATGTTTTTTAGGGAGAAGGGAGTAACTTTCCTAATGAAAGTAGAATTCAATTTTTAGGTGCTGGAAGATTGGCATGTTTGAAGGAAATGTTCATTAAAATCATCTGTCTTGGGACATTTTTTATGCTTAATCTTGCTTCAGTGTTTTGTTACAGAAACACACATGCCAAAGGGAAGAATGATGTATCCAACCTGAAGGATGAGCATTGTAGGAGTTTTGAGAGCACGTAGGTTCATTGACACGTGCACATATGCTGAGTCAGATACGCCTGAGATTTCTAATGTGTGGAAATTATTTTGTCAGGGGTAGTATATCTATTAATTTTTTTCTTCATTCTGTAAATATTTACAGAATATGCCAGGTACTCTATGAAGCAGTAAGTGTGTGAATATAAAACATATAGGTTCTCCATCCTTAAGTGTTTAACAGATCTTTCTTTAGTTATGTGCCAGTACATTGACAGTTTAATTGGGTTTAGAAATATTAAAAGCATGTAACAAATTGTTCAATGACTATAATCTTGCTGACAATGTTAATCACCAAAGAAGAACTTAAAGGAAATAAGACAGTACTAAAGTGGAAATAGAATGTGCATAAATTTGAAACAAAAATTGATAACTTCCTTTAAATTCAGTAAATATTGAATTGCTTTAGGGTTTTACATTTCAAGTTGACTTGTCAATGTTTCAGACTACAAGAATGATTATGTCTAACCCTAAAATTTAATTAGAGTAAAGGGATAGAAAAATCTTGGCTAATGTGTGTACTGTTAAGAAAATTAGTAATAAAGGAGCTATTCCTATAGAAACTACAGACTCAGGGCTGATCTCTTCAGAACAGAGAACAATGGGGCCAGCATTTGGCATGGTGGTTAAGGCACTGGACTCACACATGGCCAACTGCAGTTCAAGTCCCAGACCCAATGGCTTGAAAATCACTTCGGGTACCTGTGTCTGCATACCCAAAATCCCTAGAGGAGAATGGAGGAGAAAGGATTGTGGGCATGGCCATCCTCCAGAAGTAAGGGGATGTTTTCTCGCTTTCTTTTTCTCTATCTCTTTCTCTCTCCAAAGAGTGCATGTGCCCCATGCAAAAAAAAAAATTAAAAATATAATAAAAAAATCCCTGAATTCAGAATTTTGAATGTCTTTACCCAAATGATTTTCATCAATTATTGTCTAATATATTTTACACTTCTCAGATTTATTCATTCAGTATCCATGTATTGAACACTTACTATATTCTCAGCACTATTCTAGGTACTTGGGGACAATAAGACAGATACGGACCCTGCTCTTATGTTTCTTAAGGTGTGTGTGTGTGTGTGTGTGTGTGTGTGTGTGTGTGTGTGTATGAGTTAGAGTAAAATAAAAAAATAAACAAGTAAACAGGTAAATGGACAAGATAATCTTAGAGAGTAACAAGTGCCATGAAGAAAATCAGACTAATTGG